AACGCAAGACTAAACATCGTAGTGAAAATTCGAAACAACGATCAAACAGTCAAATTAAAACCACGTTTGCAACCTTTAAAGTTGGATTTAAAAGTAGGCGGAAATTTGTAAATTTATTAGTAAATGAAAAACTTATACAACTTCAGTTGGACACTGCTTCTGATGTCACGTTGATTTCAAAGAACACATGGCACAAGTTAGGATGCCCACGCATCCGACCGACGGAACATGTCGCCCGAAATGCTTCAGGAGACATAGTGAAGTTGACAGGAGAGGTTCTATGCAATATTCAACTTATGGGAAGTAAATTTACAGATGTTTGTTATCTAACAAATCGACACGATTTAGATCTATTGGGATTAGATTGGATTGCACATGTTGATACTTTGAATAAATTATTAGATGAGGTATGTTCTCAAAATGTTTCCTATGAGTCTATTCAAATCCCTAATAATATTTCTAAATCAAATGCCTCCGACGAATCATCCTCTCTGGATATTAACGAATTAAATGCTTCTGATGAAACATGTTCTTATGATCTTTCTGAATCAAACAATTCAAATGTTATGTGTTCTCATCATGTCAAATCAAATACCGCCGATTTATTGCCTTCTCATAAAATTTCCAAATCGAATACTTCAGACAAAGTATGCGCTAGTGAAACTTCGGAATCTCATGTACTTCGTTCTAATGTTATGTCTACATCAAAGTCTTCTGTTTCCTCTCAATTGTCGTCCGTATCTTACATAAACCATCTTCGACAAAAACATGCATGTGTATTTCAAAACAAACTGGGCTGTTGTAAATTCACCAAAGTATCCTTATCACTAAAGGAAAATGCAAAGCCCATTTTCAGACCGAAACGACCAGTGCCTTATGCTGCTCTGTCAGTCGTTGACCAAGAATTGGACAGGTTAGAAGCACTAGGTGTCATTGAGCCAATAAATTATTCATCGTGGGCTGCTCTCATAGTGGTCGTGAGAAAAGCAAATGGAACTGTTCGCATATGTGCTGACTTTTCCACTGGTCTGAATAATGCTCTAGAAGATCACACGTATCCACTTCCCATACAGGAAGATTTATTCATCAAACTAAATGGAGGAAAGTATTTTGCTAAAATTGACCTGGCTGACGCATATCTCCAGATAGAAGTTGACCCAGCCTCCCAACCATTACTGACGATTAACACCCACAGAGGTCTTTACCAATATAAGCGTTTACCTTTTGGTGTGAAACCAGCACCAGCTATCTTTCAACAAATAATGGACACTATGTTGGCTAATTTGCCAGGAGTCGCTGTCTATTTGGATGATGTAATCGTTACAGGTTCCAGTAAGTCCGAGTTATTCAATCGACTCGATACTGTTTTAACCAAAATATCTGAGTGTGGATTCTATCTGAAAGAAGAGAAGTGTACATTCTTCATGAACTCGGTGAAATATCTTGGTTTTGTTTTCGACAAAAATGGACGACGCCCGGATCCGGAAAATGTACGAGTTATCCAAAATATGCCTCCCCCATCTAATGTAGCAACTCTGCGTTCCTTCCTTGGTCTTATCAGTTATTACAGTAATTTCTTGCCACAATTGCATCGCCTCCGGGCACCCATGAACCAATTATTATCCAGTAATGTAAAATGGAATTGGTCCACCAAGTGTCAAAAATGTTTTGACGAAGTGAAGTCATTATTAACGTCGGATCTACTTCTTACATATTTTGATCCCTCGCTGGAAATCGTTGTTGCTGCAGATGCTTCTGACTATGGTATCGGTGCCGTCATATCCCATAAGTTTCCAGATGGCAAAGAGAAGGCTATCGCACATGCATCCAGAACATTGACTTCAACAGAACGCAAGTACAGCCAAATTGAGAAAGAAGGATTGGCATTAATTTTCGCAGTAAAAAAGTTTCACAAGATGCTGCATGGCAGAAAATTTACCTTAATCACTGATCATAAACCCTTATTATCAATTTTCGGATCTAAGAAAGGTATACCAGTTTATACCGCAAACCGCCTCCAACAATGGGCTACAATGCTATTGGGTTATGATTTCGTTATCAAATACAAATCTACCTCTGATTTTGGCCATGCTGATGCATTATCGCGCTTAATAAGCAATCATAAGCTTGAAAACGAAGATACTGTTATCGCTTCTATATCAGTGGAAGAAGATGTAAGTAGAATGTTGTTTAATTCAACACAAATTCTTCCAGTGACAGCTGCTCGAATCGCTGAACACACTCGCCGCGATCCTATCTTAAGACGATTATCTACATTTATCCAGCGTGGTTGGCCCCCACGTATAACATCTCATGAACTGAAACAGTATTATCAACGACGCCAATCTTTATCCATCGTAAATGACTGTATTATGGTTGCTGATCGCGTAGTGGTTCCGTATAACTTACGCTCACTCGTCCTGAAACAACTGCATACAGCCCATCCAGGTACTGGAAGAATGAAAGCTATTGCTCGGAGTTATGTATATTGGCCTAATATCGATGAACACATCGAAGATTTCGTGCGTGCGTGCAGAAAATGTGCTGAGGTTTCTAAGTGTCCACGAAAAGCTGAACTACATTCCCGGCCATCTCCGGAAGAACCTTGGTCGCGTATACATGTTGATTTTGCTGGCCCATTCCAGGGTACGTACTTCCTCGTTTGTGTTGATGCTTATTCGAAATGGCCGGAGATTTTTCCTATAAATCAAATCACTTCGCAACAGACTATCATGAAGCTACGGCAGTTATTCTCCCGTTTTGGAGTTCCAGATGTTCTCGTGACGGATAACGGCACTCAGTTTATTTCTTCCATCTTCTCAGATTTCTGCAAGAGGTTTGGAGTCAAACATGTCCGTTCACCTCCGTACCATCCACAATCGAATGGTCAGGCCGAAAGGTTTGTAGATACCTTCAAAAGAGCGCTACTGAAGGCGAAAGGGGAGGGAAAGATAGAGGAGATTCTTGATGACTTTCTCTTGGTCTACAGAACAACTCCAAACCCATCAACACCAAATCAAATGTCCCCAGCAGAAATTATGTTTGGTAGAAAAGTAAGAACTGCCCTCGATGCCATGAAACCACAGCAAAATGACATCGGAAAAAGAAACAGAAAGATGGAAAACCAATTTGATCGCCATCAAGGGGCGAAACGCAGAATTTTCCAAAGAAATCAAAAAGTATATGTCCGTGATTTCCGATATTCACCTCCACAATGGACTAGTGGACGCATACTTAAGAGACGAGGGAACGTAATGTATGTGGTGGAAGTTGAAGGACAGAAGTGGACACGCCATGTCAACCACATACTGGAAAATGCTGGCACTTCACAGAAAACCGAGAAATAAGGCTCAATGTGGAGAATCATTCTGGACAGTTTCGACATAAAATGCTCAGCAACTCAGAAGACTGCGCAACATGAACAAGGTCCTATTAGGAAAGCATCACGGAAACGCAGAAGACCAGACGTTCTACAGGTAGACCCAAAGAGGAGAACATACGTTTCCGAAGGAAGATATCAATGATGATATCTCAGCACTTACCTGTATATAGTAACTAACCATTTTTTTTTCTTTTTTTTTTAAAGGGGGAAGGTGTTACGAACGGGGAATTAAGAAGCCCAGACAATTACGAAAGCTATTTTCTTGGGACGTTATTGCATTTCATTCAAAACCTGTAAAACACTTATATTTATTTTTGTCCCTATCTTATTCTACATAACACGAGCTTTCGTTCTATGTATCATTCACTAGCATACCCTTTTTTGTTCCAAAAATATTGTAATTTAAACATTATATTTTGCACTATATTTTCTACTCTAATTCCCTGTTTCGGGCATAACTGTATTTTTCCAAATTATCGTACATCGTGGTCAAGATATTCACTTATTTATTCATGTACATTTTTGTAGTAATCTGAATTCAGAGAATCCAGAGTTTAGTGTTCCAACTGTCTTGTCTTCTTTCACTCGCGTGCTTGCCAACCAATCAGGATTTAGAATAGTTCTCTCTAGCCCCAATCGAACTCACGCGTATTAAACTCAAGGTTAGGCCACTCAGCCTAGTGCGTCAAGGTCAAGTCATAACAAGTATCACGGGGTAAAAGCGATTCGAGGTCATAACAATCCCAAAGTTACCATTCATTATGTTTCTCGGGACCTAACAGTATTTCAGGATGTTGCTTTTCCCCTTGTGTATGTTGAGGGCTGCTGATGCATAAGCTGCTGTTATACTGGCAATTTTCACCTGCAATCTCTGACGTGCATGGGATAGAAGAGGCAGGGCATTTGTAAAGCCCAAACCGTCTAGTTGCATCCAAGCTGTCCATTGTATTCCGTGCTTTCCCTGAGATGTCGAGGTGTTCATAAGAGAAAGGGAGAGTAAACAACCTTGACCGACACCGGTAGTCACTTGGATTACATCTTTGATCTATCCTCCATGCATGACTTTGCAATGTATTCTGTCGTACGAATTCCGTATGATGTTGACAATCGTAGGCGAGCAATGATGTGGAAGAAGTTTCCACAATGTTCTCCTATCCACTATGTCAAATGCTTTCTTATAGCCAAATAAGTTGATGTATAGTGTCGAGTTCCATCCAATTGGTCGTTCAACAATGATCCGTAGTGCCACGATTTGATCTGTGCACGACCGATCCTCACGGAACCCGGTATGTGTATTTCGAAGCTGGACGTCCACTGAATCCTTCATTCTGTTCCGCAACGCTATTGAAGACTTTTCCTGGTGCTGACAGTAGTATGATTCCTCTAGTTCGTACATTTGCTCATGTCTCCTTTCTTCAGTATCTTGATGAGATAACCTCCTTTTCAGTCTGTCGGCACTGGCCCCCCCCCTTCAAAATCTTGAATAGAACGTACAGCATGCTTGCAATTACTTTTATATCTGACTTCAGGGCTTCATCCGAGATTTTATCCTGGATAGTGGAGACAAATTTGTAAATTTATCTTTTTCCATTCTTCTCATCTTTTCTTCTCAAATTAGGTTCGTATATCCATTGAAGAACTTATCAGTAGGCATCAGTTAATACCGGCAAATCTTTTTTGTGCTATTATGCAACGATTCCCTGTATTCGATCGTTGGTTAACAAAATATAAACTTAAACTATTTTATCATTATCATCAGCATCAAAGACAAACATGAATATCAGTTCAAAACTTTGTCCGACAAATTTCTTTTTGTTCTACCTTTGATTTCAAACAAAATTGATTCAATGTACAAATAAAATTTTGGTATTCAGGTAAATTTATTTTTTGTATTTTCATGAATAGAGTTCAACCAATTTTGTTAATATGCAAAGATGGATAGTGGCTAGCAGTGGAATCCAGGACGTGTGTTTTCGTCATATCTAGAACTTGTCAGCTGGATGTACCTGCATCTTAGAGTTGACGTGTACTTTGGAACTCGAACCCATTACCGTTCGTTTTAAATGCCATCGCGTTATACACTTAGGTATTGTGTCATGATAATTATTAATGATCGATTTCCGGAATATGTTGAATCACATTCGCGGAGATGAAGTTACTTGTTATTTTCTTCTTAAAACTAGAACCCCAGCACGACTTGGTTTGTTTTTTTAAATCCCATTTAAGTCTATACGATATATTAGCCATCGGAATAGGATGGATGAAGATTAGGGACGTCACGATATCAGAATGGGCTGGAACACCAGATTTCGAACCAAAAATTGTGAGAAGAGGCTTGTGAACGGCGAGAAAAGTGAATCTTCGACCACACAAGAATTTGTGGAAACGGCGTACTGCAAACACAAGGGCGAAAGCCTCTTTATCTGTTCGGCTTTACTTTCTTTCCGCTGGAGTTAATGTGAGAGATGGATGCATAATAGCTTTCTCTGTTGCGTCCGGAAACTGGTGTGAGATGACAGCACCGGGTCCAAAAGCTGAAGCATCTGCAGCCACAATGACTGGCATGGATGGGTCGTAGTGCGTCAATAATAGTTCAAAGCTAATGATAGTTTTCAGCTTGCAAAATACAGCTTCATACTCTTTTGTCCAGTTCCAAATAGTATTCTTATTCAGAAGATAATTTAGTGGGGCGCGTATGTGATTCATCAACGGAACAAAAGCTGAGTAGTAGCTAATTAGTCCCAAGAATGATCGTAGCTCAGAGATATTAGTGGGAGTCGGCATCAGTTTTATAGCTCGGATGTTTTGAGGATCTGGTCTGCAACCTTCGGCATCAAAGGTGAATCCCAAGTATTTTACTGACTTCAGGAAAAGCTGGCATTTTTCTGGGCGCAATCGGAATCCGTTATCGCTAACGCGTTGTAGTACAGTTGTGGTGCGTTCTCGAAGCTGTTCTAACGATATGGCAACAATTAAGATGTCATCGAGATAAGTTGCGACCCCTGGGATACCTGATAGAATGGTATCCATTAGTTGCTGAAAAATAGATGGAGCTGTTTTAACACCAAATGCTAGGCGATTGTACTGAAACAAGCCCTGATGAGTATCTATGGTAAGTAACTCTCTCGAATCTTCAGGCACTTCCACTTGTAGATAGGCATCATCGAGATCCAGCTTTGCAAAACATTTTCCGCCATTTAGCATAGTGAACAGATCTGCAGGAGATGGCAACGGGTAATGATTTTGTTGCAGAGCTGCATCAAGATCTGTTGAGAAATCAACGCATATTCGTACTGTGTCATTTGCTTTCTTAATAACCACAATGGGTGCTGCCCAGGTAGAATAAGAAACAGGTGTAATAACTCCCTGTAGTTCAAGGCGATTGAGTTCTTCATCAACTTTCGATAATGCTGCATACGGCACATGTCTCTTTGGACGGAAAACAGGTTTAGCTCCAGGTTTCAACCGAAGTGTTGCTTTCATAGAAGTGCACTGAGCCACTACAGGCTGGAAAATGGTTGAAAACTCCGTCATTAGCTTCTCCGTATATACTACAGGTTCATGGGGTTCCACCAGATGGCATACGGTGCTTAACAAGACATCAGCTAAATGCAGCTGGTAGAACCGATCTAAATCATGTAAATTTAAATCAGCTGGCGTTATGTAACATACCCCAGTGAACGTCGAATCATGAAAAGACAATTTACAATCTAGTTGTCCCAACAAACATAGGTGATTACCGCATGCAGTACGAGGTTTTTGTGTTGTCGGTACAGTACGTGGTCTGCCCAATCTTCAAAGCATCATCTTGATTAGCAAAATCAAATTTAAATAGGTCTTCATAACGCCGGAACCAGATGTCAAAAGTAAGTACAAACATGTATAAAGTCAATAAAATCTCTCTTAAAAAAAAAATTGTAAAAATCAAAATATTAACAACTTTTCAACATTAGTTATAAGTTCTTAAAGGTTTATAGATCCATCTTTGAATAAGTTCAGGGTTAAAATGACTCTAATATGCCTAATCAGTGATTTGAATGTATACTAGCACTTCGTTGAATGATAAATTACTTTTTATATTAGTTGAACCCCTTTGATAAATTAGACCAACGAAATGTGTGCTATAAAATGAATTCATTTTATCTCTAAATTGTGTATCAGTTAAAAATGGCACAAAATCACTTAAATTTTTGTATCTTTCTGTTAGGGATGCTGAGGAATATACCAATCATTATCATATTAAGTCTAATGATGTCCTTGGACTCTAAATCAGATTCAGATTTGTGTAGTAAGGACAGAAGGCATACGGCCTATGTTATTCCTTTTCTAGTATGCTTCTGTGAGTGTCCAGTCTTCTCTTGAAAGAGTCAATTGAAGGTGCGGACACCACTGCTTCAGGCAGCAGGTTCCAAGTATTGATGACTCGGTGTGAAAACCTGTATGCCACGGGTATTTTGTTCGTTCTTGGCTTTTCTACTCGCCTGCTATGTCCTCTGAGGTGTCCCGATCTAGTGGGAAGAAAGAGAGAGAATAAGTTAGGTCCGAAATCATTTCTCAGTATTCTGTACATCAAGATTAGATCTCCCCTTAGTCTGCGATAGGACAGAGTAAAGAGGTTCAGATTTTCAAGCCGCTCTTTATATGATAAACCCCTGAGTTCCGGAATTGCACGTGTAGCTGCCCTCTGTACTTTTTCTAGTATGTCTGAGTCACCTTTTAAACAGGGGCTTGCAGCCTGAACACAGTTCTCTAATTTAGTTCTCACTAAGGATGTGTATAATGTGGTGAACATGGTAGTATCAAGCTTAGTGAATGTCCTTTTTAAAGCCCAGAGGGTTCGGAACCCCTTAACTGCGACCTCCGGGCAATGGGCCGTCGTCTTAAGATCATTGCTCACTGTCACCCCTAGGTCCTTATGAGACCGGACTACGGGTAATGACACATCCCCTATATTGTACGTATTAACCTTTGAATCCCCCAAGTGCATGTAGACACACTTTTCCGAGTTGATAGGCATCAGCCACTCTTTAGACCAGTTTATCATATTATTTAAGTCCGCCTGAAGAGTAAATGCGTCTTTGTCTCCAGTTATTACTCGCCAAATTTTTACATCGTCAGCGTATAATAACATTGGAGACTGTACTATACTTGTAAGATCATTAACGTACATTATAAAAAAGGACCTAGGACGGAACCTTGGGGTATTCTACTAAGTACTGGTCTCCAGATGGAGCACTTGGAATTTATTCTTACTTTTTGCCTACGACCTACTAGGAAATCCTTAATCCATTTTAAAAGAGGTCCGGCAATACCAAGGTTTGCCAACTTCAATAGCAGTCTATTAGTTGGGCATTCCCTATTGGCCATTATTTATTTCACATGTTAAATATTGTACAGATGTTGTTTTCTATTTTTATGGTACGATGTGGTCTGTTTGGTTGGTATATAAACAAAGTATGTTTGAAATATAACGATTCATAACTCAGAGGCTGTGACTTGCGTTCTGGACTCAATTGGCTGGGCTAGACAGGGAAGCAGAACTAATCAGGACTCTAGGTCGTCCTTACGTGTTTTACGTGTCACTGTAATCGATCGATAAATACGCTGCTATCTTAACCTGAAGTCACCCGTTACAACACTTTCGTAAACTTAGTTCAATTTAAAATGGTAATAGTAAGAAGATAGAATGCTTCGTCAGTCAGTCAGTCAGTAACAAAGATAGAATGCTTAGCAGATGAATTAAGATTACTGATCTGTTATTTCAAGAGGGAAAGTGATGACATGCAAAGTAATTAGAAGGAAAAGAAATATAATAGTACTACTGTTTTATTTTACTTAAACACATGAGCATTAGTACAAGGGGGCACCATATAAATTATTCGATTTTTGTGAGGGTTGGGATACTGTCCGAGTGCCTAAACCGAAGCAGGTGGTTTTCTTAGGATGTCATACCTGGAGCCTTCAACCTAACGGTTGAATTCACAAGGCAGTGGAGCAACGTTAAGAAGCGCAGTCCCATGGCAACACGTGACCGATAATTGGTTCATACGTCATTTGTTCACTCAGGATCCTGTAGTCCATATGCACTATTGGTTTGGAATGAAGGTTTCCCAACTTCCCTAAGTGGACTCTCCGTGTCCACCAACCTTGATAACGTGTTGGATGTTCACATTTTGCCCTCTCAATTTCATAAACAACACCCGTGATGCAACAAGGTAGTGAATAAGACTTCCCTAGCAGTTACTGTATGCACATAGCCATATAATAGCATTTCAAATGGCAGATCTAACTCTCTCCACTCTCGATCATACTAAGACATTTAGGATGCAAAAATTACACATTACGTTAGGAGATGCAGTCCCATGGCAACACGTGACCGATAATTGGTTCATACGTCATTTGTTCATTCAGGATCCTGTAGCCCATATGCACTATTGGTTTGGAATGAAGATTTTCCAACTCGTTCTAGGTAAACTCTTCGTGTCCACTAACCTGGATAACATGTCGGATGTTCTCTTTTCGTCCTCTCAATTTCATAAACAACACCCGTGATGCAACAAGGCAGTGAATAGAACTTCCTTAGCCAGAAACCTGGAGAACTACGAAAGCCATCATCCAGAAAATACAGGTGTTTATTAACAATTGTCTACACAAAATACTTCAGATCCATTGGCCGGACACTATTAGCAACAACGTACTGTGGGAGAGAACAAACCAGATCCCAGCGGAGGAAGAAATCAGGAAGAAGCGCTGGAAGTGGATAGGACACACATTGAGGAAAGCACCAAACTGCGTCACAAGACAAGCTCTCACATGGAATCCTCAAGGCCAAAGGAAAAGAGGAAGACCAAAGAATACATTACGCCGAGAAATGGA